AAGATCGATACTTTGCAATCTCTTTTTTAAAATCTACTTTTTTTTTTTTTTTTTGGTTTTTCGAGACAGGGTTTCTCTGTGCAGCTTTGCGCCTTTTCCTGGAACTCACTTGGTAGCCCAGGCTGGCCTCGAACTCACAGAGATCCGCCTGGCTCTGCCTCCCGAGTGCTGGGATTAAAGGCGTGCGCCACCACCGCCCGGCTACTTTTTTTTATTATTTTTTTTTCATTTATTTTACATACAGACCTCAGTTTCCCCTCCCATCTCTCCTGTTCCCTACCCCTGCCTCCCCTCTGCCCTCCCCATCTGCTCCTTCTCAGTCTCTCTTCAGAAAGGGGCAGGCCTCCCTAGGGTGTCACGAGCATGGCATATCAAGGTGAGGCAGGACCAAGCTCCTTCCCCTGCACCAAGACTGGACTGGGCCACCCAGCATGGGGATTAGGTTCCCAAAAGCCAGCGCAAGTGCCAGAGACATGTCCTGATCCCACTGCTAGGAGCCCCACAAAGAGACTAAGCTACACAACTGTCACAAATGTGCAGAGGGCCTAGGTCAGTCCCATCCAGGCTACCTAGTTGTGGGTCCAGGGTCCATGAGCTCAAGTGAGCCCAGGTCTCTGTGGGTTCCCCCACCATGACCTTGACCCCCATGGTTCATACACTTCTTCCTCCATCTCTTGAACAGGACTTGGAGCTTGGCTCAGTGCTTGGCTGTGTATCTCTGCATCTGCATCCATCAATCCATCAATTACTGGATGAAGGTTCTCTGATGACAATTAGGGTAGTTACCAATCTGATTTCAGGAGACAGCCAGTTTAGGCACCCTCTCCACTATTGCTAGGAGTCTTAGCTGATTCATCCTTGTGGGTTTTTTGGGAGCTTGTCTAGCACCAGGTTTCTCCCTAACCTGAAATCATCCTCCCATCAAGACATTGCTTTCGTTACTCCCCATCTCCATCCTGCCCACAACCCCAGCAACCCAATCCCTTTTGTTCCCACCCCTTGCCTCCCTGCCCCTTGCCTCCAGTCTACCCAGGAAATCTCTCTCTTTTTTTTTTTTTAAAGTACACATGGGACAGGTTCATAAGCAGGCTTTGAGCTGGGCGGTGGTGTCACACGCCTTTAATCCCAGCACTCGGGAGGCAGAGGCAGGTGGATCTCTGTGAGTTCGAGGCCAGCCTGATGTACAGAGCAAGATCCAGGAAAGGTGCAAAGCTACACAGAGAAACCCTGTCTCGAAAAAACAAACAAACAAACAAAAAACAAAACAAAACAAAAAAAAAGGCAGGCTTTGGCAACTCTTAGGGGCTTTTGCTATGTGCAAAAAGAGATGCCATGGAGGCTCAGCTGTCTGCCCATAAAGAGCTTGCCTATACCACAGGGAAAACGATCTGCAGGTGCTGTCCTCTGCTGTGGCCTCTGATTGGTCAAGAAAAATGGGACCTGGGAGGATGAGAAGGAGGTTTCAGTTCGTCATTTTATACAGCTGGCAGGATGCAAAGGAGCGAGAACAAGCTAGCTGTGTGCTAAAGAGCGCTTCCTGGGATTTCAGAACCGGTGAGAGGATTCAGACAGTGTCGAGAGAGAGAACAAGGTAGATGTGATAGAAAATAACCCTCAGGTCCAACCTTTAGTACAGAGGAAGAGAAAACCTAGATCAGCATGCAGAGCAGGCCCTAATAATGGCCAAGCACCGGAAACTGGGATAATCGAGGAATATCCCACATCTGAATTACTTGAATGGGAAAAGCTTTTAAACAAGGAATAAAAATGCTTGTCACAGCCTGGCTTGTGCAGCTGTGGGATGGGAGGGCAGATGATATCAGTCTGAGTGCTTTGGAAGCAGAGAAACCAATAAAACTACTCCCCCCAAGCAGAATCTGCAGCAATACAGGAGAAATCAGTCCCTGATGCGCAGGCTCATGGAAGTCATTAAGAACACTCGGTTATTGCCAGTCACTGTGCATATCATGGACTGGAGGAGAATAAAGGAATGACAGGCATACGTGAAGTGACTGAGCATGAAAGATGACACATTTGATGTCCAGTTGACAAGGCCAGATAGGTGTGTGTCCACAAGAGAGTTAGAGACAGGCTGATTTAGCAGGGCCCTCAGGACCAGCATGGGGTTTGTCTTAGTCACTTTTCTATTGCCATGGCAAAACATCATGATGAAGACAACTTATGGAAAGGAACATTTAATGGGAGCTTACAGTCTCAGAGGGTGAAGTCATTACCATCATGGTGGGGAGCATGGCAGCAGGCAGGCAGGCATGGTGCTGAACAGAAGTTGAGAGCTCACATCTGATCCACAAACACTAGGCAGAGAGGACTAACTGGAAATGGCACGGGCTTTTGAAACCTCAAAGTCCACCCCCACTGACACACCTCCTCTAACAAGGCCATACCTCCCAATCCTTCTCAAACAGTTCCACCAACTGGGAACCAAGTATTCAAATATATGAGCCTATGGGGGCCATTCCCATTCAGACCACCACAGCATTTTAGTGACTTTGTTGAGCACTATGATAGGGCATAATTTTTACAAGGTAGGAGAGGATATGACAGATCTGAGTATTTTAGACCAGCATATGGATTATGCTTGTGAAGTACTAAAGAGAAAAGAGCAAAATGGAAAGGGGGTCTGTCCAGGGTCTCTCCCTTGAAGGTGAATGCGGCAAGATTCTCATGGAACCAGAGTCCTTAGGGTAAATTTAACAGAAAGCCAAGTGCTATGCCGATGAAGCTGTAGACTCCAGGCACGTCCGACCTTCAGACTGTCAGCTGCATGAGGCAAAGGACAGCAATGATATGGCCCAACACAAAAGTGTAAACTTACTTAAACATTGTATTTTTACAATAAAAAAACCCAATTGTGTGATTCTGGGGCATGCATTTTGTAGATGATTATGTTTAGGATATTTCTTATAAGAGCCTGAGCAACAGTCGAGAGAAGACAGGAAGGATGAAACAGCAGCTGTAAAAGGTTTTGACTGCCTTAGGGTGGAGAGTTGTCCCCTCAGGGTATGTGGTGTACCCTTCTTCCCTGAAGGAAAATGCACTGAGGGTCGGGATTGTTGATCTAGCCTGGGGTCTGTTTACCACCATGGTGGAAAGGCAAGAGCCACAGGACCAGCCTGGAGCTTGTCAGAGCCAGGCAGCTACCTCTCGTCACAGCACAGGAAGCTGGAGGGCAGCCCCGCTCCTTTGGGCACGAGTTGGGTGGAGTAACACAAGCCTCCCCCATTCGGTCCATCATGGGTGGGGAGATGTGCAGGAGCCCCTCGGTGGAAGCAGAACCCCGGGATCCGGCGGCGGTTAGTTCACAGGCAATGATGGGGAATTATGGAGAGATACCTGGATGTGGTTGTGTCTTCATTGCTGCTGGATCCAACATTTTATAAAGGGTTTTAAAAAAATGAATGTTCTGTTTCCTCTTACATCTACCTCCTGGTCAGGGCTCAGTGTCTCCCCAGTGGCATTCTGTGGTCTAGCTCCTAGGCCCCACCTCACCTCATCTCCTGCTTCAAACACCATAGTACTTCTTTGCTTGGAGGTCATCCGTATTATCCCCCCCCCTCCATTTCAGCCTGGGAGGTCTGGCAGGGCTGGGCCAGATCTTACTTCAGGACAGTGCTGTAGGCATACGCATGAGAAGGGAAGGGGTCCAGGAGTCCCTAGGCACATGTTTTCATCCTGGGGAGGATCTCTTCCGCGTTTCAACACTTCCCTTGCGCTCCTATGGGTGTCCCAGTTTGCACAGGGCGTCTTGCCCACCCTGTCCCTCTGCAGGCTTTTGCAAGGCTGTGTCTGATCTATGATGATGTGGTACGTACAGGCACAGGCCCTGCCCTCCAGAGACCCACAGCCTGTTGGGTACATGAGGACCCATTCCAGGTGCTCAGGATAGGGTCCTTGGTACTAGGAGATACATATTCTGGAAGGAATTGAGGAAGTAATAGCTCAGGGCAGGAGACACTGGCGAACGGTTATAGGGTGTCTGGGGAAAGGCTGGTCTCATTAGATCATGAGAGGGTGAGGTAAGGGTGGGAAAGGTATTGGTGGAATAAGAGAAGCCATACTAGTGAGGCTTAGGAACTGAAACAAGACAGCTGCATCCAAGCTGGAAGATGGGATGGAGACTTAGACCCTAGGAGCTGGGAGAGGGAGGTCTTTAGGCAGTTACTGGGTACCGGCAGGAGGCTGCCTTTAGCAACCACAATGACTGAAAGCTTTGGAGGCCGAGACTGCCAGCCATCAGGCAGGTTCCTAGGGCCTGCAGTCTGGGGGTGTCTTTTCCTCCCCCATCTCCAGTCTTGAGGTGGGCGGACACTGTGTGTTTCACATCTGCTTTTCCAGTCACAAGAACCTGTTCTTTCACTTCCCCTCCCCGACTCTCTGCTGAGCTTCTAAGGTCTTATAATGTCTCCACTGGGGACAGAGACACCAGTCTGACACTGCCCTGGAGTCTGGTGTGATGTGGCATATTGGTGGCTGATGCTGCTGAACGAATCCTGTACTGGTCCTGACCCAGACCCCTTCCTATTCCTAACTGCTAACCTGCTACCAGTCCCAGCAGAGCCCAGCCCAGCTGTCCCTCACTCCGCAGCCCAGCTGTCCCTCACTCCGCAGCCCAGCCGTCCCTCACTCCGCAGCCCAGCCGTCCCTCACTCCGCAGCGGTCTGCACCGCTCCCTGGTAGCCACATGCATTCAGCCCCAGCTCCAGGTCTGCTTGCCCTGGCTAGCCTTCATCACCTTGACGATCTAAGCTCCAGCCTCAGGGGATATGGCCGTCTTTCCAGAACCTGGGGACAGAGTGTCTTCTTCCAGATCAGGTCTCTGAAACATCTCTGGGGTTGGGGCTCAAATGGGGACTGTGGACAGCCGAGGGAAAATGTGTATGGAGAGGCACTCCCGGGTGTGATGACTGTGGATCTCAGGACAGACCGGCCAGGTTGATGGTGCTGTCTCCACACCCCTGAAAGAACACTTTACACACAGCTCAAGGACAGAATGACAAACTTTATTAGAAATGTTCCTTGCTTGTAGGTCACATTCACATTAAAGTGGAGGCTGCGCTGTCTGGCTCTGGTATCCCATGCTGTGACGATTTCCAGTTAAAAAACGAGCCTGGGTGGAGAGTATCTGGAACCCATGAAAGTTGCTGAATGATGGTGCTGGCGGCGGCGGTGGCGGCGGCGGCGGCGGCAGCAGCAGCAACATTCTGTGAGAGGATGGGTCTCAGGGCCTCAGACTGTGTGTCACACCCACCCTTCCTTTCCCAAGGCCACACCGCGGGCCCCAGCTGATAAATAAACAGCATGTCGCACACATAATTGGAAACGAGAAATGAACTGTGGAAGTCTCCTAAAGTGAAAAAATAATTTGCTCCAAGAAAGCTCTGTGACAGCCAGGCTTCACCCTGAATGATGGCGGCCAGAGCCCTGGACACTCATGGTGTCTCAGACTTGGTGTCCCGAGGCCCCCATCCTCCTTAGCACCTTTGGGAGAAAGCCATCTTCACCACACTCCTCTTTCAAAATGCAAACGCTACCTAAAAAACGATCATACCAAGAATGAGCTCTGTCCCCAGGGCAAGTCATCAGACTAATGTCCCTGAATAGAGGGGTGGGGACAGCCAAAGGACTGGATCCACGATGGAAGAGGGCAGGAAGGGGCGAGGAAGCCGGCTCAGAGAGGAAAGCCCAGATTCTTTGCACTGCTGTGGTCCCTGGTGACTTGTCTCTCAAAGTGGTACTAAGTCTTAAAATGGAAGGACAAACTCCCTGCCCTGGCCAGGGGCAGGCAGAGAGGGGACCATCAAGGACTTGCCTCCCTCCGTCATTCATTATTCAGAAGCTATTTTCTCTCCACTGGCCAATTTTCCTGGGCCTGTCTGCAGTGAGGAACAGGACGCCGTCTCCTGTCAAATGTTTTATTCATTCTCTTGAGGAAGACATGGTCTCTATATTCTGGTTGACTAGGTGGCCTCCTGGTCCCGGTTGAGGGCAGCAATTTGGCCCTGGCAGCCACAGTAGCAACAGGTATTCCTTTTCCAAGTCAGTGACACATCCCGATGCTCTGGAGCTGGGCGCCATGTGACCAGATGCCAGCAGGCCTTCAGCACCGCTCACTGGTACTGCAGATAGTTTTTGAGAGACTGAGGCAGGGGCAGGGAGCCGATGTCCCGCAGGCGCTGTCTGCCCAGGGCTGAGCGGATGGATCTCCTGCACAGGTCCATCAGTGGCAGGGGTTCAGCTGCAAAGACAGCAAAGTGTGAGTGCCCACACCTCCTTACTCCGCCCAGGTTGCCCGCCACCTACCCTTGGCCCTGACCTAGCTCAGGGCCCCCTGTTCCTAAAGAGCCAACCCTGCTTGCAGTAAGAAGTCCTCAGCAATGTTTATGAAAGGGGGATGATAGCTGGTCAGAACAGAAGATTTGGAATAACCAATGGCAAACAGTGGCATTAAAGGATTAACCGTGGTATTCAACTTATCTATAGCAAGGATAAGTTCTGGTGTGGAGTGTGTGGTTCGAAAGTGTTTGAAAGGGATATCCTTTTAGAAACAGAATAATTTGTCCCAGCCACTCAGGAGGCTGAGGCAGGAGGATCATTCGAGCCCAGAAGTTCAAGGCCTGCCTGGGCAACAGAGCCAGACCCTATCTCAAAACAAGCAAGCAAACAGGTTAGATTCCACCAGCTTTTACAGTTCTTTCAAACCCTCACACTTTCCCTGTAGTGTCTATGATGGACAGTGGAAGGACACGTTTTCTCACAGCACTCGGGTTCTAGAAAAATCCATAAGTTAAAATCCGCCAGGGGCCTGGAAGGCGGCTCAGGGGGTAAAGGTGCTTTCCACACAAGCCTGATGACCTGATACGGATCCTCAGGAGCGACTTAAAAAGCCGGATGCAGCGGCAGTCATCTGTAAGACCAGCACTCCCACATCGAGATGGAAAACAGACGAGAGACCCCAACTCAACGTGGTGGAGGGAGGGAACCCACTCTCCGAAGTCGCCCTCTGACCTTCGCATGCACACCATGGTGCACCTACCCAACCCTGAAGAGTAAAAACCAAAGCACTGCAGCAGCACCTCTGGGTACAGGACAGTCTACTGAGTTACAGACTCACTGAGGGTACTCAGACTAACATTCATCTCCTCCAGGTTCTGTGGGTAACTGTCGGGGTACAGAGACAACTAAGCCGGGCCAGAGCCAGCCCTGGCGTGAGCCTGTAGGCTGGGATTTTTAAGTTGTTGGGATTTTTGTTGTTGTTTTTAATTTTGAATATATGGGTGTTCTGCCTGCATGCATATCTGTGTACCACATGTAAGTGAATTATTCTAAAAGTGTTATCCATGAGAGAGCTCCTGGGTGCACAGGGACAGAAACTGGCAGCTGCTGGAAAGCTCTGAGGACAGACCTCTGAATGGAATTCCAAGGATGAGCAGGAGTGTTCTAGGCACATGAGGCTGGGCAGTATGGTAAGCAGGGAGAACAGGCAAGGACCAGGAAGATGGGGAAGCTGAGCGGAACAGGGCTGGCAGCTCACACAGGCCAGCGGAGAATGAGGAGGACAGTGGTCCCATGTTACCCCATGTGGCTGACATGGGGCCGAGATGCTCTCATTGCAAATGAGTGTTCTTTTGGTAATGGAGCAGGTAGGATTTTTGAAGGCATGGTTAAATCCTAAGTAACAAACACAAATATGTCAGCTGTATATGGGAATGGTATCAGGAGCGATGGGGACGATAGCAGCTGGCATTTCCAGGGAACTTCTGCTAGAGATGCAGTGCTGATGGGCCGCCATCAGAATCCAAGTGGGACTCACATGAGCGTCAGAGGCTTTGTCCAAGGACAGCTCTTGCTATCCTTCGGTGAGGCCAGATTCCGGCACTAGTACCTTTACTTCTTCCTTGTCTTTTGATCCCCACACAAAACGAGGCTAGCCAGGGGACTCTGGCCATGCGTCCTGACCTGAGCTGCCCCTCACAGGGTTCCCACCTCTATTGCAGCAGCACCTCCAACTCTCCCTGCCCCTCGTCCTTCACAGCACCAGTCTACATGGTGCCCTGCCCTGTCAATCAAGCCCCTGCTCTAATCCCTCTGCCTTTCAACCCTGGCTGGTCACTTAGCAGGGACTGTGAGGTATAAGATATGCATGTAGCTGCTTTCTCCTGAAGGATTAGTATGTGGCCATACACATACTAAGCTCTTGTGGGGGCAGGGACTCAATTCACGTGAACCCCTGGGGGCAATAAATATTATTATGATTATCGTCTCTATTTTAAGGAGGCAGAAGCTGAAACAGAGTACACAAGCCCTTTACCTAAACATATTCAGCTGGTAAGTGGCAAAATCAGGAATCAAACTCACGGAACCACAAGTGGGAACTTGCCTTCTATCTTATCCACATTTACCGCACATCTGCTTGACCTATTGCTAGGCTGAGCGTATCTCACTGAGGTCCTAAAGCAGCCTTCTGAAGTCAATGCGGCTACTCATTCCTGTCTGAGAGAAGAGGAAACTGAGGTTGGGAGAGGAGAGACTTATCTAGAGTTGCAAAGCTTGCACATGAGTGTCATACTGCCCCTCCCCCAAACAACACTAAAAAAGGTGGACTTGAGGGGACAGTGAAGGTGACATCACCTGTCTTCTAGACCCCTGGCAGACTGTGCCATAGCCTCAGGCTCTTACTGTGCCCCCCATGGCCACTTTCCAGGTTACTGCTGCCCACCTCTCCCACATTACTGTAACAGTGCCGCTTGGAAGCAGCCAGGTTACTGCCGCTCACCAGTCGGGTGCCAAAATGCACCGCACCTGTTCACAGAATAGAAAACAAATCAGCTCTAGTCATGGAGGGGCCCCAAGTTCACGTGACTGCAGGGATGAGCCTCTCAAGCAGAGTATTAAGTGAAAGAAAAGTGTGTTGTGTGTCCCTCCTGAAAACCCTCTAAGTCTAAAAGTAGCTGATGATGTCCAGGGTGTAGTGACCGGGGTGGTGGTGACAGCGGAGGGGTTACTTTGAGGCTTGTGTTCGGCTCTCCTAGCCAGCTTGCCTTGACGCCAGCAGGCAGCAGCTTGAGATCCGGACATTTTTACTTCACCTATTACTCTTCAAAAAGAAGTTAGATCTGAAATAAAGGAGCTACTCACTGAGTCAGGCCTTAGTCCACCTGGGGTAGCAGGCAGCGTAAACACACACAAGTGCTGTGGGATGTTTTTCTGTATGCTATGAATAATGTGTTGCTCTGGTTGGTTGATAAATAAAGCTGCATTGGCCTATGGCAGGGCAGGATGGAGCCAGGCGGGAAAATCCAAGAGAGACAGTGAGAGAAGAAAGGAGAGTGGGGCAGACGCTGCTAGCCACCGCCAGGAGAAGCAAGATGTAAAAGTACGGGTAAGCCACAAATCACCTGGCAAGGTATAGATTTATAGAAATGGGTTAATTTAAGATATAAGCGCTAGCTACCAAAAGCCTGCCATGGCCATAGTTTGAAAATAATATAAGCCTCTGTGTGTTTATTTGGGTCTGAACGGCTGTGGGACAGGGCAGAACACAGAACTTCCAGCTACACACATGCCAAGCTGAAAAGGATAAAAGGGGTAGCTTGGAAGACCAGCTCACACTCAGCCCTGCCAGCCAGAGGCAGCTGGCTCCTCTTCTCCCAGTCCCACATTTCTCATCTGTAAAATGGGATGGGATGATAACATCACATCATGGACTATACGGTGATGATGCCATGCCATAGCCTGCCCTATGCCTTAGCATGGTCTTTGCTGAAACACACCTTCAAGCCATCAGCTCAAGAGGTATCTTTGAAAACAGTCACATTGTTGTTTGCACAGCATCCTTGAAAGCTGAACTTTAGAAGACCTGAGCGCTGTTTCTTTTTCATAAAGGAAATGAGGAGATACACAGGTGTCATGCCTGTGTGTATGGGCTTGTGTACCACTTGTACCACTGGTGCCCGTGGAGACCAGAAGGCACTGGGTACCCTAGAACTGGAGTTACAGACAACTGTGAGCCACCATGTGGGTGCTGGGATTTGAACCCGGGTCCTCTGGAAGAGCAGTCCGTGCTCTTAATTGCTGAGCCATCTTTCCAGCCCCATCCACTAGTGTTATTCAAGGGTGAGGATGCTGAGAGGAGAGGAGTAAGCTCTAGGGGGCAGCCTGGGCTCCATGTTGGTGCCCTTCCCAGCTGAAATGACAGAAAAGATGTGCACATGCTCCCTGTGTGTGTCTGAAGGACACCACATCAGAGCCGGAAACTAAGAGAGAGGCAGTGGCTGGCTAGACAGCTGGGCAGACTCTAGGAAGATGATAACGAGTGTGACAGGATGGAGAGGGTCAAGAAGAAAACCCGACAGCACTGTCCACTAAGGGTGGAGGAACGTTCAGGGAAGCCACGAGCTGTAGCCCAACACTTGGGGCAATGGTACCCCCATCACTGCCCCAGCAGAAGCCTGAGCCTGCTGTCTGTCTCAAGGGAAGTAGCCTTTAGGGAAAGCCCTGCTCAGTGTGCAGGGTCAGCTGAATGGAGCATGAGCAGACCCTTCACAGTGGATGGAGGAAAGGAAGGCCATTTCTACGCAGGTAAGAACCCAAGGGCCTGGGCTCTGTCCCCAGAGTGGCAGAGCAGCCTCGGTTTTCTCCCCCAGCTCTGCTGTCACTGTCAGAGCAGCAGGTGGCCTGGTATGACAGCCGAGGTGCCTTGACATGGGTGCAGTTTGGCAGGATGGAACCCACACTTGATTCCTGGCGGTGGAAAGCTTGACGGTACCGCATCAAGCTAGGTTTCAGGGGAACAAATGCACAGGACGGAGTAAGGCGGGGAATACCTGGGAGAGAAATGTGGGGTGGGCCTTGGAGACCAGGGCTGTGGTCACCAAGCCTCTAACAGAGAAGAGGCAGATATCCGAAGCAGGCCCCAGGGACAAGCTGGCTCGAGGCGGCACTCATCAAAGGCGAGGCTGCTCAGAGGACACACTCACCTTTCCACCCAAGGAAGACGCTAGCCACTGGTCTACAGTAGCATCCACAGAGGAGCAGGGATCTGTCTGCAGACCTGACCGTGCACCCCAGACCTCCTATCTGCAGACCTGACCCTACACTCCAGCTCCCATCTGCAGACCTGACCCTGTACCCCAGGCCTCCCACCAGCAGACCTGACGGTGCACCCCAGGCCTCCCATCTACAGACCTGACCCTGTACCCCAGGCTCCTATCTGCAGACCTGACCGAGTACCCCAGG